CCCACCCAAACTCCAATATACCACCCACCAACTTTCCAGGTATACCACCCACCAACACTTCAAGTATACCACCCACCAACACTTCAGATATACCACCCACCAACACTCCGAGTATACCACCCACCAACACTCCAGGTATTCCACCAACCAACACTCCAAGTATACCACCCACCAACACTCCAGGTATACCATCCACCAACACTCCAAGTATACCACCCACCAACACTCCAGGTATACCACCCACCAACGCTCCAGGTATACCACCCACCAACACTCCAGGTATACCACCCACCAACACTCCAAGTATACCACCCACCAACACTCCAGGTATACCACCCACCAACACTCCAAGTATACCACCCACCAACGCTCCAGGTATACCACCCACCAACACTCCAAGTATACCACCCACCAACGCTCCAGGTATACCATCCACCAACACTCCAAGTATACCACCCACCAACACTCCAGGTATACCAACGCTAAGATACGACCCACAACTTCAGCGAGACGGTGATATATAAATATTTAACCAAAAACTAGTTATATTTAATAATCCATGTATTGGCTGAAACTGTCATATAAAAATCACTAAAATATTATGAAATATTTTACACTGATGGATCTGATCACAGAATTAAGTATAATACTGTTATTTCTCCAGGACTGTTGAAGGCAAGTGCTCCAAGTCGGGTGGTGACAGTCTCCTCTGGGGTACATCAGTTCGGCTCATCACTTGATGTAGATGACCTGAACTACGAGAAGAATCCATTCCCTAAAAAAATGGTCATTTACAGTCAGAGCAAACTGGCGAATATCTTATTTACCAAAGAACTGTCAGAGAAGCTAAGGGGAACAGGTTGGTTCATTAATTATTTTGATATCCTAAATGTGGCAATTTATTGAGTACAAGAAATCCCACAGGATCATAGTAACAAGCAGCAGAGGCTTTAGAATCCATGCTGACAAAATATGAAGAGGAAGTTATAAGTCAGCACATAATTATTGGTAGGTTTACACTGATTTGATAGATTACAGGATTTAGGTAGAATTAGAGTGTTTGGAACCAATAATGGAATTAAAAATGTAGTTTTAGGCTTTTAATTATTTTACACTAGGTAGAAATGAGTAGAGAAATTAGATTAGTGACCCATAGCGGTTCTCCAGCGAATGAGTGAGGAAGAAGGAAACTGGTAACCATTTTATGAACAAGGACTCGTGCTGAGAGCACCTCTTTACGGTTTCCCAATTTACGTTACCTGGCAGTTAACTATGTATTTCAGAGGCCTTACAACGAATCGTGGATGCCAGTCTTTGGCTGGATACATTAGTGATACTATTTACTGTATTTTGCCCCTAGTCACGTGACCATTAATACTGGGTGGGGATATCAAGGATAGTTAACTTACGGCTAATATAAAGGTACCCATGACCAACGATCAGGTAACTTGTAATTGATATTTACTACAGTTTACAGATTTTACTCCAGAAAGTGTTGTACAAGCCACTTGTGAGACTCAGACTAGGAGTCTTGGGGGACGGTGTCGACAGTCCTAGTTAGAGAGAGCTTCTCACAAGGAAGAAGACGTTACAAGCATTTTCAAACAAAATATGTACTAACTTGAATGGTTCATTCTCTAACTACTCTAAAATTGTTACTACTATCAAGGGAATCACTAGACCCATAAGGGTGATACAGCGCCTGGGAATGAGAGGCAATCAGGTTTGATCTAAGGAAGGAGAGATCAAGCTCACTTCCTAAGGCCAAGAGCACCACAGCAGCACCTAGAAACTTCCCTTCACGAGCTATTCTCTTGAAATAATTTATAATTATGCATAATTAATGGAAAACGAAAGGAGATGCTAAGTATTTTATTTTTATCCACAGACGTGACGGCTAACAGTGTCCACCCAGGTGTAGTGTACACAGAAATAATGTGGAAAAATGAAACTAATCTTTTCACCTATATTTTTGCCATGCTTGTTAGGATTATGGGAAAAGTAAGTATCATGGAATAGTTACTAATTACGGTTATAAATGTTGACCCTGAAATTATAGGTCAGGAGATGCGTCCTATGTTCGTTCACATATATTTTACTGACATAATTTTGATGTTCAAATTGCAGATATTATTATAATCAGCGGGAAGTTTTAAACCCATAAAGCTCATGCATCGCGCTGGGAATTGTGGGAAATTATGTTTGATCTGAGGAAGGAGAGAATAATTCTTCTTTCTGGATCACTTAATGGGTTTCACTCAGTAACATACTTACTAATATGCAATTATTTATATATTCATGACTCGTTATTTTTCAGGACGAGAAACTTGGAGCCCAGACAAGTATTTACCTGGCAGTGTCTGAAGAAGTGAACAATGTTACTGGCAAATATTATGCTGACTGTAAGGTAGGTATGAATAGTGTATGATGTACATTGTTGACTGTATGGTAGGTCTGAGTAGTGTATGAAGTACATTGTTGACTGTAAGGTAGGTCTGAGTAGTGTATGAAGTACATTGTTGAGTGTAAGGTAGGTCTGAGTAGTGTATGAAGTACATTGTTGACTGTAAGGTAGGTCTGAGTAGTGTATGAAGTACATTGTTGACTGTAAGGTAGGTCTGAGTAGTGTATGAAGTACATTGTTGACTGTAAGGTAGGTCTGAGTAGTGTATGAAGTACATTGTTGACTGTAAGGTAGGTCTGAGTAGTGTAAGAAGTACATTGTTGACTGTAAGGTAGGTCTGAGTAGTGTATGAAGTACATTGTTGACTGTAAGGTAGGTCTGAGTAGTGTATGAAGTACATTGTTGACTGTAAGGTAGGTCTGAGTAGTGTATGAAGTACATTGTTGACTGTAAGGTAGGTCTGAGTAGTGTATGAAGTACATTGTTGACTGTAAGGTAGGTCTGAGTAGTGTATGAAGTACATTGTTGACTGTAAGGTAGGTCTGAGTAGAGTATGAAGTACATTGTTGACTGTAAGGTAGGTCTGAGTAGAGTATGAAGTACATTGTTGACTCTAAGGTAGGTCTGAGTAGTGTATGATGTACATTGTTGACTGTAAGGTAGGTCTGAGTAGTGTATGATGTACATTGTTGACTGTAAGGTAGGTCTGAGTAGTGTATGATGTACATTGTTGACTGTAAGGTAGGTCTGAGTAATGTATGATGTACATTGTTGACTGTAAGGTAGGTCTGAGTAGTGTATGATGTACATTGTTGACTGTAAGGTAGGTCTGAGTAGTGTATGAAGTACATTGTTGACTGTAAGGTAGGTCTGAGTAGTGTATGCAGGGCCTGATTACCGCATAGGCAAAGGAGGCATTTGCCTAGGGCCCCGTGCATTTCGAGGCCCAGCGGTCTAAGGGGTTCAGGGGCTCATCCAAGACTGCGCACATGGTGCAAGTGCAAAGGGGTCCCTACCAAAAAAGTTCAAGTGTTTGGAGAGTAAAATTGATTTTTAAAAATTAATCAAAACAAAAATAAATAATGAAATAAAATAAAATAAAAATAAATAAACCTAACCATAGATGGCAACACTCAACACGCCTTTGTTTACATCAAACAGCTGTGTTTTCCCGCTAATGGGTGAGTATGGGAGATTCCTCTCCAATTTTCTGTAGTAATTACACGTTATCTAGACTTGTACTGTGACAAATTAACTGAAGTGTTGTTGATAGACATTTATGTGTATGGATAAATGTTTGTTTTCGCCTCTAAATGTTAAGGGAGGTACCTGATAGGGTTACTTGACCAGTAAAGACGCATGGACCAGTAAAGACGCATTTTTGGTAAAAAATACTATAAAGAAAAACCTAAAAACGCAAACTGACTTCCGTTTGTAGGTTTTAAAAGCACTTTGTCCTGTCTTTAAGTCTTTATCATTTCAGTAACAGATCTCAATTGATTGATGTTCTACATCACTTCCGTCGCAAATGCTTAGTTTTCAAGTTGCGACAGAAGTGATGTAGAACATCAATTAATTTACTACATATTTCCCCAGAAACACATAAGCCACATCAGAAAATCGTTGGTTGGGTGAAACTGAAAATTGTCCCTGCATTCTTTAATTCTCATGTCCTTATCTATGGTGGTAGGCCATATATCATGCAAAACATAATGATTAGTTTAGTTATGAAAATGGTAATATAAATACCATTGTGCATTGTTCTTGGACTCAGTATGATTTCTGTTTAAGAAAATTGGAGATCAAGGAGGATGAATTAGTAAAATATTCGTAGCCCAAATCACTAACCTAATCTATGGTAAAAGTTCTGTATATGACTCCTTTCTGGTAACGTTTTGAATTTTTAGATGCGCAGCCAGAGGAAAGGGGGCTACAAGGGCCATATCCCCCAATTGACAGAAAAAAAAATAATAATTAAAAAATTAATAATAATTGATAATGAAAAATTTGTATTTGCATGATTACAGACAGTGATACGTCCTCATTATGGCATCTCGTGAACGTGATGTTGGACGTTCTTACGCGAGTGGGTCACAGAAAAGAAAGAAGAAAATTCAAGAAGAAGAACAGAAAAAGAAAGATGTAGGAAGCTGCAGAAAGATCACAGACATGCTCACGAAAACAGTTTCTGATGTTACCAGTACAGTTGAATCTGCAGATACGTCAGATCATACAGGAAGCCCTCCCTCCATTATTTCTCAGCCAGCATCTACTTCTTTTGTGTCTCCTCTCTATGTCTCAACGGACATTTCATCCACACGATTTGTCTTAAAAGATCCTGCCTCATGGCCAAATGTAATCCCAGATTCTCTACGTAATGCTTTCATTGCAGAAAACTTCAGTCAAACTCTGAACACATATGCAACAGTTAGGTATCTTTATTTCGAAACGTTTCGCCTACACAGTAGGCTTCTTCAGTCGAGTACAGAAAAGTTGATAGAAGCAGAAAATACTTGAAGAACGATGTAATCAGTCCATCACCCTTAAAGTTTTGAGGTGGTCAGTCCCTCAGTCTGGAGAAGAGCATTGTTCCATAGTATGAAGCAATATGCGATGAAACAATATTGCTTCATACTATGGAACAATGCTCTTCTCCAGACTGAGGGACTGACCACCTCAAAACTTTAAGGGTGATGGACTGATTACATCGTCTTCAAGTATTTTCTGCTTCTATCAACTTTTCTGTACTCGACTGAAGAAGCCTACTGTGTAGGCGAAACGTTTCGAAATAAAGATACCTAACTGTTGCATATGTGTCTTACCTAACAACCTGTCGGTATTTTATACCATTTTAATGTTCAAACTCTGAACATTGACTTTAGGAAATCAGCAAGGATTTATGATGATGGAAGTCGTCGTTGTTTAAAGTCATCTATGCTTTATAGGAAGCTTGCAAATTCAGAAACTGTGAAAAGATCATGGATGGTATACTCTGAAAGCTCAGGAAAAGTGTACTGTTCAGAATGCAAGCTATTTTCTACCAAAGAAAATACCTTCACACAGGGGTTCAATGACAGGAAAAATTCCAAGCGTTTCGAGGAACATGAAAACAGCACCACTCACAGGAGCTGCATTTTAGCCAGTGTATTTCGTGCACAGAAAAAAGGCTTATTGGATTCTCATTTGGAAATCAAACTGAAAAAGAGTGCACTTATTGAGAAAAGTTTCTAGAAAGAGTTGTTGCTGTTGTAAAATTCTTAGCTCTAAGAGGACTTGCTTTCCAGGAGAAAATGAGGTTTTGGTTCAGAAAACAATGGCAATTTCCTAGGGATCATAGAACTGTTAGCACAATTTGATCCAAATTTTTAGCAAATCATGTGTCATGCCTTGGGAATGCAGGAAGAGGCACTGTATCTTACATGTCATCTACTATATGCAATGAATTTATTGAACTGATGACTAAGAAGGTCCTCAATAACATCATAGCAGCTGTGAAAACTGCAAAATACTTTGCAATAAGTGTAGATTCAACATCAGATATTTCACATACAGATCAATTGACATTCATTGTTCGCTTTGTCGACTCCAGTGGTAAGCCTGTAGAGCGCTTTTATAAAATTCATTCTCTTTCAGGCCATGATGGAGAAACAATGATGAATGTAGTACTGGATACTCTGCTTGAACATGATCTCTCTATTATGGATTGCCGTGGCCAGAGCTACGTCAATGCAAGTAACATGTCGGGTAAATATAATGGATTTTCAAGCCCGTATCAAGCAAATCAACCCACTTGCTGAATTATGTGCCCTGCTCAGCACATTCTCTTAATCTTGTTGGGTCATGTGCTGCGGAGTGTTGTGTCGCTGCAGTTTCATTTTTTGGACTTTTACAAACACTCTTTATGTTTTTTCTCTGCTTCAACGCATCGGTGGAGTATACTCAAGTCAACCATTCATGGAGATGTCATCAAATCATTATCAACAACAAGGTGGTCAGCGCAGCATGATGCAACACATGCTTTGAAAGACAGCTTTGCTGAAATACGTTCTGCTTTGATCCAAATAGCAGAGGATGAAGACCAGACAGCAACTACAAGAAGCGAAGCAGCCAGCTTAGCATCAAAATTGGAAGATTTTGAATTGGCCTTACTCTGTGTGCTTTGGGACTGTATACTGGAACGGTTAAATGCCACGAACAAGACACTTCGGAAAATTGAAATTGAAATGGCTACTTGTGCTAACCACTATGCAGGCTTAGTGGCATTTGTAAGCTCACTTCGCAATGATGAAGCTTTTGAAATGTTTGAAGAGAAAGCTAAACTGCTGGTGAAAGACTACAGTTACCGGGCTGATCATCAGCGGTCAAGGAAGAGGAAACGCAATTTTGAAGAGCCAGACAATGAAATTGTGTTGCTACCAAGGCAGAAATGTAAGACAGCTACATACTCCGTCATTCTGGATTCACTGATTACAGAATTGGTGAAAAGAAAAGAAATCTACCAGAATCTCAATGACAAGTTTGGATTTCTGTTCAAAATTACTACTATGCCAGATGCAGAATTGAGAGAAGCTGCATTGAAGTTGCAACAATACCTTTCAGCAGATGTTCAGGACACATTTGTTGAAGAAATAGTTCATTTTTCTGGGTATATGAATCAGATTAAAGCTCCACCTGAAAATGTGCGCCTCAGCTTCTTTGAAACATTAAAGAAATGCAGGTATCTCAGAAACCTTCCCTAATGTTGACATAGTGTATCGCCTTTACCTAACACTTCCAGCTACTAACTGTGAAGGAGAACGTTCATTTTCTGTTTTGAAAAGAGTGAAAAACCAGCTCCGTTCAACAATGAGCCAAGACAAATTGTGTAACCTAGCCTTTTTGACCATTGAGTCTGATCTAACAAGAAATATTGATTTTCAGAATATAATTGATGATTTTGCCAATATGAAATCCAGAAAAAAGTTTATTTAAGAAGTGCCTGTGAATATAAACAATTCTTTACTTTCTTGAGTTTATATGATTTGATAGTCTTATGCATGATGCAATGATAACAATAATGGTCAGTGATTTATAAAGGGAATAATAGTGCTGTAGTGGTTATGCTGAATATAAAAGGTACATGATGTCACTACTTTAATAGCCTAGTCTAGTAATACTATGCTGTCTTGAGTTTATTCTCTTTAAAATGCATGATTTAACAAGATAGTTATAATAGCTGTTGGAAAATGGTTTTGGTTGTATTGATGTACTTTCCCTATTAAATTTAATCTAAATAGCCAGAATGTATTTAATTAGACCTTAAACAGGCTCACACCGACCCCCCCCCCCCCACCCCAAGCTGGAAGGGGTCGCTTCGATTGCCCGTAACTCAAAGGGGCCCCGCCAATCTGAATAGCCTAGGGCCCGGAGACTTCTTAATCCGGCCCTGAGTGTATGAAGTACATTGTTGACTGTAAGGTAGGTCTTGTATCCCATCTCAAAAACATTCTGTCTCTGTCCACCTTGTCAATACCTCCCGGTATTTTACATGTCGTTATCATGCCTCATCTCTCACGTGACCACCAGTGTCGTCAGGTCAATTTCTCTTAAAACCTCTCCTCATAGAACATGCCCAATAGCTCAGAGGTTAGTCTCGTTGCAAACTTTTGCACATTTTCTAATTCCTTGACACGCTTAATAAGGTGTGCGTTCTAAAATCGTGCTGCATACTCCGGTATGGGCCTGACATACACTGTGTACAGAGTCTTAAACGATTCCTTACTGAGGTGTCAGAATGCTATTCTTAGGTTTGCTAGTCACCCATCTGCTGCAGCAGTTACTTGGTTGAAGTGTGCCTCAGGAGGTGTGCTCGGTATTATACACACCCCAAGATCCTTTTCCTCGAGTGAGGTTTACAGTCTTTGGCTCCTAGACCGTACTCTGTCTGTGATCTTTTTTGCACATCCCCGATCTTCATGACTTTGCAGTTGGTGGGGTTAAACTCTAGGAGCCAGTTGCAGCCTGTCCAGATCCCTTTAGTCCTGCGTGATCTTCGTCTGATTGAATTCTCCTCATTAGCTTCACATCGTCTGCAAACAGGGACACCCCTGAGTCTATTCCTTTCATCATGTCATTCACATATACAGTTGACCCCAGCGAATTTACAGTTCTGAATTAACGGCTTCAATAATTTGTGGATTTTTCCTTAGAACTTAACTAATAATTGTTCATGGAAATCCACGAAAATTTGCTGTTTTTTTTTTTTTTTTTTTTCATTTTTCGTGGCAATATATAATTTAACGTTTAACGTTAAATATTAAAAAAATGTAATTTAATAATTTTGTAACATGAATATTAACGTAAATTCAGCAAAATTTCCATATAAAATATAATACTGAAGAGCAGGCTTTACCGAGGAGTTTAAAGTTTCTTCTTTGCTTTGCTGTCCCAATCATTCCTTCTTTGTACTCCCCAAAGTAATTCATCTCATCATTTTTAATCGGTATCATTCATCAGGTGAGCCCGTACATTTAACTTTCTTTTACAAAATTAAATATTCCCAAAATTTTTCCTTTGTATACCGAAAAAAAAAAACGGGGTTGCTGAATTAAAGTATACCAAAAAACGGGCCCATGTTTTCAGGGTTTCTAGGGGGCTATTTTTTATCATGCGGGGGACATAGGAGTACAATAGTATAGGGGTTTTTATTTTTTCATTCATTTTTTAAGGGTGAGTATGAACCGAGCTTAAAAAATTTAAAGTGTTTGGGTGCTTTTGGGTTTAAAAATGTAAAATTAGGTATTTATGGCATTTTTTAAACCCGCACCCGGTTTGCAGTTTTTCAAATTTGCGGCTGGTCTTGGAAGAACCCCGCAAATTTGGGGGGGGTTACTGTCCAGAAACGAAAGGGTCTAGGACCATTGTTTTTTCGGGCGTCCCTCCGAACCTTTCCCAATACCATGACTCGTTTTGCCCCCCTTCGTATTCTTGATCCTTGCAGCCCCTTCCCCTGATGTATATACCTGCCCCTTAAACTTTTGCACTAATCTTTGTGTGGAATGTGTCGAAAACCCTTTTTGCGATCCCAAAAAAATGC